GGACCTGCTGAGCTTTACCAGCAACCTCTGTTTTTGTTCCTGATTTACAGCATCCACAGTTCTTTCGGTTTTTATAAAGCTTTCCTAGAACTACAGAAGCCTCTAGTTAGACCACACCTAAAGTACTGATCCCCTTATCATAGAAAGATGTACTGGCATTGAAGGCGTGGAGGTTCACCAGGTTGAGACCGGGTAGGAACTTTTTTTTTTAAATGAAAGTGGTTGAGCAGTTTGGTCCTCAGTGGAGTTTAGAAGAATGTGGCAACCTTATTTGAAACATATAATATTCTTAGGAGACCTGAAAGGTTAGATACAGAGAGGTTTTTCCCTTGGGTGAACAGTGTAAGGCAAGAAGGCATAATCTCAGAGTAAGGGGTCACCTAGTTAGGACAGGGATGAGGGATTTCTTCACTCGGATGGTAATCAATCTCTGGAATTCTTTACCGAGAGGGTTGTTAAGGGTATTCAAGGTTAAGATAGAAGAATTTTGAATCCATAAGAGAATCAAGGGTCACAGGGAAAAAGCAGGAGAGTGAAGTTGATTATTATTAGACCAGTCATGATCTCATTGTCTGCCAGAGCAGTATTAAGGGCCGAATGGCCTATGTCTATTCCTATGTCTTACCATCTCATAATAAATCCAATTAATTAGTGTATGCATCACATTGAAGTTTAAAATATGCATTCTGAAAATCTTCTAAATGTGATAAGTTAATCACTCATTTCTTTTATTCATACAGTTGTTAAAGGTCAGAAGGAAGCCATTCAGCCCATTCTGCTCTCTGCAACAGCAACTGAACTAGATCTAATCATCCATTTTTCCAGTACTCCTAAAAAAAAACTTCTCTCTTTAGCGGCTTATCCAATTCCCTTTGGAAAGCCACAACTATATCTGCCTTCACCACACTCTCACACAATGCAATCCAAAACCTAACCACTTGCTGAATCATTTTACTCTTCGTTCTTTTGCCAATTATTTTAAGTTGGTGTCTTCTAATTCTTAACCTTTCCACCCATGGAATAGCTTTTTTCTACCTACTCTCCCTACAATCCTCAGGATTTTGAAGACAGCTATAAAATGACCTTCCAACCTCTTCTCCTCCAATCAGGACAGCCTCAGCTTCTCCGGAATATCAACATAATTGAAGATTCCCATGCCTCAGACTATTCTCACTTATCTTTTAAGTACCCTCAATCCCTTGCCAATTCAGCACTCGTTAGACTCATGCCTCTTGTTGTCTCTCCCTACGTGGGTCCCATATTGACTAATCTTCATGGACTGCGTACTGACTCCCCAATTGGGTGCCATGTTGGACCCATAACATGACTCTCCTCCAATTAGACCAGTCCCCACTGATGTAGTATTATTATTTCTGGCTGATACTTACTCAGTCACAGCTGCGTCAGAGCCTGAATTGGAAATTGGCAAAGGAGTAGCAACGTGCTCTGGACCAGGATACCAACAAAAAGCTTCATCAACAAGAGGGACTATTTGTTTCCCCAAAATTCTGTCAGAGAAAAAAATAAAATACTTTTAACAGTAATAATCCTATTAAATTAGCCAATGCATTATTGAAAAATTATTTTAAATGGTAATTTATTCAGAAGGTTGAGAGGTGATATGAAAATATGAATTAAGAGTAGGCCATCTGACACCTCACTCCTGGTCCACCAGTTGGGAAAATCATGGTTAATCTGACTGTGACCCCAGCTCTTTTTCTGTCTGGCCTTTATTCTCTTGTCAATCAGTAATCTATTGAACTAAGCCTTACAAATATTCAATGATCGTGCCTCACAATTCTCCATGGAAGAGAATTCCACAGATGCACGATCACTAAGAGAAAAATTATAATTTCCATCTTAAAAGTAAGTCCTTTCTACTCTTAACAACCTTTAAACTGTGTCGCTATTTCTCGTCTCTTTCACAAGGGAGAATTCCTTTCAGTGTCAAGTTCGCCCAGGATTTATATGATTGCTGCTTTTAGTTTTAGAGGAGCTAAATAATACTAACCACAATGAACTAGTTCGTCCTGTCTAGAATAGTAGAAATACATGACATGCCTGTACTTGAAGGGGTAAACGCAAAACTAATTATAGGAAACAATATTTCAATGAGTGAATGGTCCATTTATGGAGGAGATACTTAAGTGAGACAGAGGAAGCAGTTTGTGACGATCAACTCAAATAAAAAATTTGAATGACTTACGTCGGGAAAAAAACAGAGGAATAGGAGATATGAGTAATTTGAGACATGATATGTGGTATGATGGTTTGTCGTTTGATTTGGAAGCATCCACTATATTGGAAAAAATAAATATAACATCATTATTCAAGAAAGGAGGGAGGCAGAAAACAAATATATTGGCATATTAACCTAAAATCTTTGTTAGATAGATTACTAAGGAGGTTAGCAAAGATACTTTGAAAATTATAATGTAATCAAGCAAAATCAATGGTTTTGTGCAAGGGAAATGGTCTTCAATTAACACAATTGAGTTTTTGAGGAAGTAATAAATAATATGGATAAAGGGGAACTGGTAGATATGGTGTACTTGGATTTTCAAAAGGCATTTGATAATGTGCCTCATTAAAGGTTACAACACAAAATAAGAGCTCACAATGTCAGGGCAACATATTAGCACTGATAAAGGATTAATTAGCTAACAGAAAGCAGTAATTATAAATGGGTATAGAGCTGGATGAACACAGCAGGCCAAGCAGTATCAGTGGAGCAGGAAAGCTGACTTTTCGGGTCTAGACCCTTCTTCAGAAATGGGGGAGGAGAAGGGGATTCTGAAATAAATAGGGAGAAAGGGGGAGGCGGATAGGAGATGGATAAAGGAGAAGATAGGTGGAGAGGAGACAGACAGGTCAAGGAGGCGGGGTTGGAGCCAGTAAAGGCAACTGCACCTCCCAGTCGCGAACCATTTCAACTCCCCCTCCCACTCCTTGGACGACATGTCCATCCTGGGCCTCCTGCAGTGCCACAACGATGCCACCCGAAGGTTGCAGGAACAGCAACTCATATTCCGCTTGGGAACCCTGCAGCCCAATGGTGTCAATGTGGACTTCACAAGCTTCAAAATGTCCCCTCCCCTGACCGCATCCCAAAACCAGCCCAGCTCGTACCCACCTCCCTAACCTGTCCTACCACCTATCCACTCCTCCCACCTCAAGCCCCACCCCCATCTCCTACCTACTAGCCTCATCCTGCCTCCTTGAACTGTCCATCCTCCCTGGACTGACCTATCCCCTCCCTAACTCCCCACCTATGCTCACCTTTCCTGGCTCCAACCCCACCTCCTTGACCTGTCTGTCTCCTCTCCACCTATCTTCTCCTTTATCCATCTTCTATCCGCCTCCCCTTTTCTCCCTATTTATTTCAGAATCCCCTTCCCCCCCAATTTCTGAAGAAGGGTCTAGACCCGAAACGTCAGCTTTCCTGCTCTTCTGATGCTGTTTGGCCTGCTGTGTTCATCCAGCTCTACACCTGGTTGTCTCAGATTCTCCAGCATCGGCAGTTCCTACTATTTCTGTAACAAGGATAAATGGGTCTTTCTCAGATTGGCAAGCTGAAACAAGACGAATGCCACAGGGATCAGTATAGTGATAGGAACAAGGTCAGCCAGGTGGACCTCATAGAATGAGTTCCCTGATTGGGGTTATTAACCTTGTCCAGAGAGTCCTGGCTATCAGATAAAAACAGGAGTGTCAGGGGTTCTGCTCACTCTAGGAACTGGCTCGGTGCTAGCCAGGACAGTGTCACATACAATGCATGTATAATAAAGGGTAACCTGGTGAAGGGATCCGGCCTTCATGGAGTTATTTCAGTGGCGAAGAGAGAAAAACACATCCCTGCAAGGATTCACTCGCAACAGTCATTTTTGAATTGAGGTAAGCATTTCTGGCATCATGCCATAATTTTGCAAGCTTGACTCATTTGATCCTGCTATCGAAGATTGGGCCCAGTGTGTGGTAAGAATGCATTATTTTTTCCTGGGCAAATGACATTGGGGCAGACGTAAAGCAATGAGTAATCCTCCAGATAGCAATGTGGACCCACAGCTTTTTTTGGTTATTAGAAGCCTAAGCTACCCCTGAGGCACCAGATACTAAAACCTTTCAAGAGTTGACGGATTTAGTGAAGGAATATTATGACCCCAAGCCTCCTCTCATTCTGAGATGCTATCAGTTTTACTTGGTGGTTCGAGAACCAGGAAAATCCGCGTCAGGAATTTTGATGAAGTTAAGACGAAAGGCACAGGCATGTGATTTTGGTTTAGCCCTAAATAAGATGCTGAGACACTGTTTGGTATATGAGATTAATGATGTAACCATGTAAAAGCACTTAATAGCTGAAGTTCAACTGGACTTCAAACAGGCATTACAACTGTCTTAGAAAATGTGGCAAGTGGAGCTTATGAGTTACAGGGTATTTGGACGGAAGTGGACACTCTCGCTAGTCTGGCTGAGTTTAAGGAACGCCGCTCGAGTGAAGGCAATTGCATAACCTCAATCAAGACATATCCTGAACAGGTAGACTCTCGGTCACCCACAGCAAAACCCCAAAACAAAGCCAAGCTTCGGACAAACAATTAAAAGTTTCACAAGGATCCGGGCAGAAGGCAATTGCAGTTGTTGCTGGTACGCGGACTCGAGACAGCACAAGAGTCCCATTAGGCCCGAACTGAATAAGAGAATTCGTAGGCTGGTATCCAGGACAGTGCACACCCTGGAAAGTCTGCCTACAGCTGGTTTGGAACAGTTACATTTCTTAGCAACATCCAAATCAAAACCAACCAAAATAAACATCTGGTTAAATGATCACCCAGTTCTAATGGAGGTCAATACTAGTGTGGTTGTATCAGTGATTGCGAAATAAGTCTTTACCAAAATTTGCTCTGGACTCCAACCCCTAACTTTGCGTAAGACTCCAGCCAGGTTAAGAACATATAGCAGGGAACCCCTACAGATTAAGTGTACAATTTTGGTTCCGCTCTGTTATGAGCAGCAGCTGGTTCAGTTTCCACTGATTGTAGTAAAAGACCCAAGCTTGATGGGGTAGTGCCATGGCTCAGTGGTTAGCACTGCTGCCTCACAGACTCAACCATCTTCAGCTGCTTCTTCAGTGACCTTTCCTCCATCATAAGATCAGAAGTGGGGATGTTCGCCGAAATTTTCTGAAGAAGGGTCCAGACCCGAAACGTCAGCTTTCCTGCTCCTCTGATGCTGCTTGGCCTGCTGTGTTCATCCAGCTCTACACCTTGTCTCCTCAGAAACTGAAGTAGTCCATGTTCATGGGGAGAAGTCTCTGCACCAAGTTAAACCTGATCTTCCAGGACCTGGATGGGTGGGGCGAGGTTGGCATCAGGAACGCCAATGCTAGACACAAGACTCCTCTAAAGTGAGAGAGTCAGCTTGCTTCAGGAGACAAAACCACAGGAATGGCCCTGCACGTGTAAGAGACATAGTTGATACAAGGACATGTCCCATGACGTTTGGATAGGAGAGGCGATCGTGAAAAAGCAGGTGGATCACATAAAAGCTGCAACCTAGCAAACAGATGGGAGCAAAACATACCTGGCCCCTAGGAACATCCAATGGGTTCTGCTCCTCTATCTATTGCTGAAGGAATCTCTGAAGATGAGATGGATACAAGACGTCACAGCCTTGATGCTGCTACTGCCTGATGATGAATTTTGGCTGAGACACTCCAGGCGCAAGAGGTGGACTATGGTCTGGTATATGTCACCAGTATCCAAAGTAGAGCAGGAAGAACCAGACCTGGTCCGAAAATGCCCCAAAGAAGAAGCCACAGGAAAAAGAACAGGATGGATGTAGTGACTGGAACGAGGTCAGTCAGGTGGACCTCATAGAATATGAGTTCCCAAATTGGACCAGTTTAACAACCCCAATCAGGGAGTCCTGGCTGACAGATATAAACAGGAGTGTGAGGGTTCTGTTCATTCTTGAAGCCGGCTTTGAGCTAGCTGGGTCAGTGTAATGTACAATACATGCGTAAATGAAGGGTGGCTTGGTGACGGGTCAGTGGCCTTCATGGAGTTATTTCAATTAGTGCCGAGGTCTCAGTTTTTCACAATCTATATCAGTGACCTGGATGTGGGGAAGTGAGTGTATGGCAGCGACGTTTGCCGATGACCCTACACGTGCAGGGCCATTCCTGTGGTTTTGTCTCCTGAAGCAAGCTGACTCTCTCACTTTAGAGGAGTCTTGTGTCTAGCATTGGCGTTCCTGATGCCAACCTCG